ATCCAAAATATGCATCCCACAAGGGATCTGTTACATCCACAATACGTAACAGCAACTTGCTATGAAATTCAGCCCAAGTCATCTAGACATTCTCTGTATAAGCACGTGAACTGATGGCTAAAACAAGGTAAAATATTACACAACAGATATATTTTTAACAGAAAAATATTTAAAGAGCAAAAGAGAGCTAAAAAAACTAGACTGAGAGAAAAGGTCACACCAAGGTAACTTAGCAGAATGCATAATGCAAAGGGTATGGCTAAGTATGGATTGGGAAGGGAGAGATGTGAATAGTTTTCCTTATCTAGCTTAGATATAAAAATCAATAAGYGATTATCTTTACATTTTAAATCTGTAAATAGCCACTGTGAGTATCACATATGCTCTCCAGGTCTTAAAAGTTATATCTAATAATTGAGGGCCTGGGAGATCCAGGATACAAATCTGGCAATTTCCCATGAAGACCTGAGGGCAAAACACCCTTCACCCTCTGATGCCCATTTGTAGAAAGGTTTTTTTGGTTTCCAAGAAATCTCAACATATCTATGGGGAATGAAGATTGCATGGTATATATTGAGTAAGTGCAAACAGCAAAGGAAAATCTTGATTTAGATTAGGATCATCTTTATGTAAACTGAAAAATCTTGTTCTCATTGTTAAAATCAACAACTGTCCGCTCACCAAGGTGAATAAATACTGCATATGCCTTTCCAAACTCTACACAACATCCTGTCTTCTAGCTTAGTCCACACAGATATCAACAGAAAGCACGACTGTGYCTGTGACTTTCTCTCCTCAGTGCTCAGAGTCAGTATAAATACCTATTACACTGATAATGGATGAATCGCTATCATTAAGACTCACAGCCATGACTTGACTTCACACTACTTAAATGTGCAACTACTAAACYGCTCAGTACCCTTAGATACCTCTTCTTTTTTAGAATACTTTTCCTTTGCTCCTTCTAGATTACGATGTGCTACACAACGTTTTATTACTCTCCTCCACAGAAACACTTTGTCTTCCACAGGGACTCACAGAACTGGACATCTGATTTATCAAGGATTTTCATTGCGCAGTTGTTCCAGCTCCCTAGGGGGGAGCTTCTTTACATTAACCCATTTCCCCTTTAGAATTTTAATATACASTTTTAATTTGATGCTCTTCAGGCTGTCTTAGTCTTGTGTGGCACAATTCCAAAAGTCACAAAAGTTTTAACTTTTCCAACATTTGACATAAGCAACAATTTTAACCTTAAAGACAAGAAAYCACTGCCTTGTAACATCACTGCCAGAAGCCACATGAAATACATAAAAAATGCCACTGATGAAACATGTATAGGGGTGCAATGTCATCTACCTAAAAGTGGGGGTATTTGTCTCTCTTTTCAGAATRCTCCTATCATTTCCACATTGTTGAACAGCTCACTTTTTAAAATACAGTTTTAAGATATTTCTACTTATTGCTTCCTCCACTGTTTATTTTCTTGCTTCTCAGGGTGCCACCACACRCTCTGCTGGGTCAATATGCAGCACCAGGGAAGGGGCAAAGAATAGTCTTGAAGAAAGCAGAGACTCCCCACTGGTTTTGTCACCAACAGGAAGAAAAAAAAATGTTTTCTCTTGTTAGCAAACCTACTATAGGAAAGACCCCTTCCCTCTTGCCAGCAAACATTTCCATGGCTTACCTGCCAAAAAAATCTGTAATGCCTGACTGCGCTCTCCATTACCCAACAAAAATCTTTGGAGAGGAGGGAAAAATATATTTTTAATTTTAGGTGCCTGTTAATTCCCATACAAAATATTCAGACTTCTACTGATTGTAATCATAGTTGTGAGTGCTTATACTAACCAATAAGCATTAAATAATAAATAAGATGTAAAAACTGTTTTTTAAGAGTTTTGCAATATTGTATGAGGTATGAAGTATAAATAAGGGAAAAGGCCATACAGCATTCATGAAAAAGAATAGGAAGACGAAGTACAAATAAAAATGATGCAAATACAATATTGCAATTTAGCAGCTTTGCACTCTTCAGACAACTCTGCACCAGCTGCTAGCCAGTTGAGAAGCTAATGACACACTAACGACCATAACATAAGAACACATGTTTTCTTTAGGCTTCTACATTTTATGATATTAAACAAGAGCGTGATGTATTTAAGTAGGTCAGCGTGGGTACACAGGCACACAATTGCAGTGTTGGCTGCACTGCACGAGAACGGTGTCAGCAACTAGCATATTGTATCTATTTCAGGCAATGTGAATGTTTGCCATAAACTCACCTTTATAGCAATTACCAGCTGAAGTGGAAGGTTTTAATAATGCAGATGTGCTAGATGAAACAGCACTGTGCTCCAAAAACGCAGTGGCAGGTACAATATGGCTGGAACAGGTGTTGGGTTAATTTTCCTCATCTGTATCTGCTAGCAGCTCTGGTTACCTTTGCACACTCATTTGATGTGGTCGTTTAGGAAAATCGGTGCAGATGGTGTGTCACTCGGCACACGTCTGCCAAAGATTTTTACAACTGGAAGCAACCATCTCCAGTCAGTATGAAAGCTCAGTGTAGATCACAACTGTAATTTAACTCAAGACTATCCTGAGCATAGCTTTGACACATGAGGAAACACGGTGCAGAAAACAAGCTAACAGCAATATGAGCCAATATATGTAATTAACACCGGAATGTTTTTTGGGGCAAAAAAGGATCACTTCTGGACTAGAGCAGTCATCAGGCAAATAAACAAATACTTAAATATTCCTACTCCTTCAGTCAGTCTCCCCAMAGGGCCAGTTCCTCTTGCCTTAGGCAGCAAGAACCAACAGAAAAGTCTTATTTCTTATTAGATATTGGGCTACATCCCAACAAATGGGCTTCAGGAACAGTCATTCCACTTGTGAGAATTGAAAAGAAGTTGGTATCTCCAGTATTAAAAGGGCCTCAGAGAATGTATAGTTTAGCACCATGAAGAATGTATCTACATTCATAGCACTGGGAAATCCATTAGGCAAGTTGTCAATTCCATACAGAAAAGTTAAGGAAAAGTTTAMTGATATTTGAATGGTTTATGAATGAATGAATAGAACAGAGACCTTAAAAGAGGAGAAGCTAGTAAGAGGAAAACTAAATGTTAAGGTGCTTTTTCAAAGAGAGATTTCAAATCCCATAGGAACCTACTTATTTAAAAACTGAATGGAGGCTGAAGATTTGATTCTGGCAAACCTGAAAAACTTAGCTCCAGCTTTCAGACTCCTGCCCCTAAAAGTTCAGTAGAAAGGGATACATTACCATAAAGGCTTTGTTTTTGGTAAATCATCATTATCCTACCCCTTCTCAAATTTCTATAAATCCTTAGTTTATTCTATCAAGCTCTCTGAAAAAAAAAATGAAAACTGATATTTAATTACAGTTCAAGATTCATTGTCAGTTTATATTGTGTAACAAAGTGTGGTGTCAGAGTATGATGTTCACTGAGATATATATAGTTTTTGCTATTGAAATAAAAAATGTCAAATTTCAAACTGGAATATGTCTAAAGTTTCCTAAAACTTTTTCCTTTTCTTTTCTTTTTTTCCCCCAAATTGCTTTCTAATATCCTTTTTTTTTTTTTTTATTTTCCAGCAAGCAAGTCATTGCTTTATTTTTCTTTTTATCCAAAAGGCTTACTACACAGTAGAATTNATTGAAATAAAAAATGTCAAATTTCAAACTGGAATATGTCTAAAGTTTCCTAAAACTTTTTCCTTTTCTTTTCTTTTTCCTTTTTTTTTTCCCCCAAATTGCTTTCTAATATCCTTTTTTTTTTTATTTCCCAGCAAGCAAGACTGTCATTGCTTTATTTTTCTTTTTATCCAAAAGGCTTACTACAYAGTAGAATTATTTGACGGTGATACTGATAAAGCTTAGTACTACATTTTATGAAAAACATCCATATCAGTACATCCCCTGTACTCTGTCAAGATTGTAATTGTATTAATATTTTGTTGCCACTACTTAGGAGAATCAWTGTTTTCTGTTCAACATCTTAATGGGAAAATGTAACACATCTTTCAAGGTAATGATAGAAAAACTCCATAAATAAAGTGAAAAAATGAAAAGCCCTGGAGACTAAGGGATGTCTCCTTAAATTTACATATACATTAGTATTTTACCCATATCTATATTTTTCTGCCTAATATGCATTACTAAGCCAATATGTATTACCCAGCCAACATGTATTACTTTCTAATTGCTCTAGAACATTATGTTGTATTTAATTTTCAGTAAGTATTTTTAAATAGCCATGCATAGCCTCAGTCCTGTTCTAGTCACCAAAATACACAAAATACTACTACTTTAGTAGTACCTACTTACTGGTACAGTAAATACTATTTGCGGTACATGAAAAACATGAAAAATACATAATAAGGAAAAGTACTGGTAAGTAGAGGATTTGTTATTTTTCTTCTATTTGGAGATTTCATTTGYTGTGTTTTATAGTTTGTAAACTATCAGACACCACTTGAATGACTGGCAGTGCTATCACTTTCCATTTAAATTTTGCAGTGACTGGGAAAGTATTCGATATTTTGTTTTGATTTATTTGTTCATATTCTATTACTCTAACTGAATTTCAATATATGCTGATAAAAATGCATTGTAAGAACAATAGGGTCAATCCAATTCCCACTGAAGTAATGGAAGACTAATAGAACTAGTAAGAAAATGGCAGTTTTATCCTGTGAAATTGTCTGTTGAGCCATGATTGTTGTTTTTTTTTTACTTTGTTTTGTTACAGCTCTCTCAAAAATAGCCATTTTTCATTAAAGCATGTTTTAACTGTTTGGGGTGCATTTCCACTTTCTCTTGTCTTCTGCTAATGCTGAAACTTATATGATCCATCTGAGTAAGGATAATTATGAGAAGTTTTCACTCTCTTTAACAGTATTTTCCCTTTGATATTAATATATTCATAAAGCTGAAATGACTTCGATAGTAATTAATAAAGAACACTCACCTACTGTCAGTTGTCCGGTTAACTGCCCCATGTGATTTCTTGCATTCACTGTTACATTTCTGTCAGACTGTAAGACCAGTGGGCTATCCTGGGAAATATGTACAAGACAACAAATGGGAGAAAAAAAAATCAGGTAGAATTAAATTAGAACTTAAATCATAATCATGCATTCTGAGAGGGAAGTCATGTCAAATGACGAGAGCTTCATGTTTTACTTCCATAAAATATTTTACAAATGACTTTTTTATAAAAAAAAAAATAATTAAAATACTATTTTAAATTAAAGCCTGACTGCATAGAACCCTCTATTTTTAGAAACTAGATTTGAACTTAATTTATATAGATTGTGATTTATTTTCTGATGATGATGTAAAAATCACAAATATAAAAAAACACTAACACAAAGCTGTTTCATTAGCCTTTTCTATATATTGATAATGCAGACTTTTGTAACTACCTGATCAGCTTGGTATTATTATTCTACTAATCTTCACAATATAGTGTTTGGATTGCATTTATTCAGCCATGCATATCTTTGAAGACCAAAAATATCACTGCTATTTAAGAATAGCAAAGAAAAGAGATCCCCATATTAGCAGGTAAATATCATACAGTGTAGACATCACTGAAATAGCTTCAAAATTGCTAACAAAGGTATGATTACCAAATGAGACAATAGAGCATGAAGTCAAACATGACAGGATGCTAGGTGTGTTCTTAGCATTTTGGTGCAGGTCATAGCACCACTGCACTGTTAGTTTTCATTTGTATGTCAAGACATACCCTGTGTCCAGAGCCAGTTAGAGGTATCTCAGAAATGAAGACAAAATCTTGCTCAGGCACACTGCTATACTCAAAGTTCCCAGTTCAGATTTGTCACATTTTTGCATTTTAGTCACATTTAGGCACAACAAAATTTAGGCATATATATTCCAGGATAGGTAAAGGGGTTTAACTTCTTCCTCAACCCAGCACAGCTGCAGAAAAAGCTATTAGTCAACTGATATAAGAAAAGCTTAACAAGTGCCAATAGGACACATGAAATAAACAGCTGGGGAAGTCCCTGAGCTATGAATGACTACAGGCTAGGAAAATATTCTGAGAATTACTATATATTCATTCTGTTCCTCTAGTCTTCCCTAGGAGTCTACTATTTTTAGGTGAGTTTTAGGTTAAATGAAACCATTAACCTATGTCTTCTCTCATTCAGTCCATCAGTTCTTGTTCTTGAAGGTGTGCTTAAAACAAGAGAAAGTTATTAAGGAGCCATGTATAAAGATTTATTTTTAACTGAGTGATGCACTAGGCATGGACTCCATCCTCCGAGTTTGTGCTCTCCTCTGCCAGAAATGCTCTCCTTAGTTTTTTTCACAGTGATTATTAACCTTAAATTACTTAGTCCTCTGGAATGTTGGAAACAACTCAGAGCCAATTTCTAAAATTTCAGGTGTGTTTTTTCTCTAGCACCATCTCTTTGCACCATCCCCTTTCTCCCACCATCTCTTTGCACCATCCCCTTTCTCCCTCACGCTCTCATGCTCTCTCTCTGAGTTTAGCAGGTGGTAGTTGTTCTTTGGCTTGTCCATCTTTCTAGGTAAAGGGCTATAATTATCAGTGAGACACTGTGCTCAAAGTGAATGGCTTGAGCTAGCACATGATGCTATCCAGGGAAGCTCTAGCAACAAAAGCAGCTGTTACGGGCCTTTTTTCTCAACACTTGATTTGATTTGCATTTTCCTTATGGTCCTTTGAAGATCATTATTAGTTCAGGCAACTGCCGCTCCAGCAAAAAGAGGTCATACTGATAGCTGCATAGCACAAGCATCCCAATATATCTTTAAGGAGACCTTTTGCACATTTACTCAGTCATTATTTGGAGAAAAATCTTCTCAGATAGAATAATCTTTCCTTAGCGGGGGAGGATACTGTCTTACCTACTTTGGCCTTCTTAGCTAAGGGCTGGTTAATGTAAATAGACACCCAAGCAGTGTTCACAGACTGATCCGAGGATTTCACCTTCGAAATATGCTTAACTAGATGCTCAGGCTATAATCAATGTCTCAGGCTTCTTCGGATCAGGCTCTGATTGTAAATTAAGACCTTCAGCATCAAATTCTCAAGCATGAGATAATGAAAGACTAGCAAACCAAGGCTTCTCTCTTCTTTTCTTGCCTTATTTAAAAGATGAAAAGAGGGATGAAGAAGCTTAGAACTTAAATCTATGTTCTTTAGTTCCTGGGTATCAAATATACAGCCACAAGCTTGAATTCTGGCCCAAATAAAATCAATGGCAACACTGAGAAATGCAAAGAATAGAAAAAAATGGATAATTAACCTCCCCAATACTGTGGATAAAGAAGATGTGAAGTCAGACAACCCTAGGAATGTGCTTAGTTACCTTCTTGATATAAATATATAGGCTGGTAAGAGATAAAATCCAGAATGGTACATTAGTAACTACACACCTTTATTTCATGACAAAAAGCTTTAGGTAATTCTTGACAGAAAGTGTTCTTTAAAAATGATACAAAACTTGGTTACTTCTGTTGCTGATACAACATGTTGTTGTACAGCTTTACATCAGTCCTTAGCACACAGAATTGAACACAGAATATTCTGTCTTACATGCAATAAAGGAATATTTTGGTAGATACATATGGTGAATACTAGGAAAAGACGTTTCATATACCATAAAAGTCTTCCTAAACAGTGCCATTTACAAGTTGGGGAAGAAACTTCTTTGAAGACGCTCTCCATTGACTAGTACTCTTTCTGGATACTAAGTTAATTAGAAAGTGTGAGAAAAAAGAAATTAAAAGGCAGGTCTCTCTCATCCATCTCAAGCCTGACATAGGCTAAATAACACCTACAAGCCCAGTCATCTGAGTCCAAAGCCTGTTCTTGGCTACCTGAACTCACAGTATGGGGCAAGAGGGAAAGGTGCAACTATTTTATTAACCGCAAAGATATGTCAAGTATAGCTGTTAGCAGGCTGTACAAATTTGCTCTGAGATTACCTGTGTTTGTGAAGTATTAATAAGAATTGCTTTTTGTATGCTGCAAAGCCAGGGAAAATTTCACTCTAAGGAGTGAAACAAGTCATACCATCCATGTGATGGTTTTGTAAATACTCCTTATGCATATTTAGGGTAGCCAATTTCTTTAGTGGTACACACTAGTTTCCTTCAGGTATATCACCCAGGTACAGGGCAGTAAAAAGCTAACTTAGCTAACAAGCAAACAAACAAAAAGAACAAAAAATTCTAGATAATGTGATTACGTCTGTTTTTAATTTGCTCCGGAAATTACATCTCAATTCAATTATCTTAATAAGGAAAACATTTTCAGCTATGCAAATAAAACAGGGATTCTTACATCCTGAAAGGAATATTTTTGAGTAAAACTTCTAAAAATAAAACATAAGCTAAAATATTTTAGTTCAGGAATGCAGACTTTTCTCCAGTACTTAATGAACAATGTATATCCTTAATGACACATTGACACAGTTTTTTCTTTTCTTTTTTTTTTTTTAAATAATCCATGTGGAATGGGTCACAGTGCAATACTCAAATATAAACTTTTATTTTTATAATTACACTAGCATATCATGAATATAATTATGCAAAAGGCCAATAGATAAGGCATTACAAAGTGTCATTTTACTAACAAATAGTAAAGCGCTCATTTGTTAAAGATGGCTCAGTTATTCTTAACATATTCTGGACAAATTTCATGCTTTTTGTACATCATTCAAACAGGCAATCTAAGTTAATTAATCAATTTTGAAGAGTTTTTCCCAGATCAGCCCTTCGAAGTAGAAAAAAATACAGCAATTTAATTCCTGTTAATTTAATACATTAGTTTACTGCAGGTATGAAGATGCACTGTATCATGAACCATAATCCTGCACTGCTCAGAACCCAATTAATTATAATACTCCATATTTTGACACTTATAGGAATAGCTGTAATATATAAAACATAGCTTAAAGTGCTTAAATTGCCATGTGTCCCTAGCACTCATGTTTTCATTCCACTTCTTAGACAAACAAAAATATTGGGGTTTCCGGACCTCCTCACAGAATCACGCAGGCATAAAAGGTAATGTAAAAAGTAACCTAGAATCCTAGTTCTGCTAATCCTCTCTGCTGGCAATTTGTGAGAAGACATTAGGTTGCACAATGCTCTGCTACTTGCAGTTAATAAGATATATCCCATTTTCTCCTTATGGGACTCTTTCAATCAGTCTGCCGGTCAGCCTGGCAGCCCAGAGGAGTCAAAGAGCAGCTGGGTGGTTTTGCAATAACTACGTTGATGACTGCAGACCAGGCAGACTGGGGATAACAAGTGTGAGTACTGCCTTGGAGGACTTCAGTGCAAAACATTCAGCAGGAGAAAATGAAAGGCAAATTGCAGGTCAAGAAGGGTAGAAAAAAGACCAAAGTAGCTGCAACCAATTGCCCCAAATCCAGAAGAATGAGTGTGAGCACATTTCTTCCTCTCTTCCTTGCAAAAGGGGAGATAACAGATGCAGATGACGCCAAGCTAGGTGGAGTGGCCGACACTCCGGAGGGCTGTGCTGCCATCCAGAGGGACCTGGACAGGCTGGAGAGTTGGGCAGAGAGGAACCTCATGAGGTTCAATAAGGACAAGTGCAGGGTCCTGCACCTGGGGAGGAATAACCCCAGGCACCAGTACAGACTAGGGGTCGACCTGCTGGAAAGCACCTCCACGGAGAGGGACCTGGGAGTCCTGGTTGACACCAAGTTAACCATGAGTGAGCAGTGTGCCCTCGTGGCCAAGAAGGCCAATGGGATCCTGGCCTGCATCAGGAGGAGTGTTGCCAGCAGGTCAAGGGAGGTGATTCTGCCCCTCTACTCAGCTCTGGTGAGGCCGCACCTGGAGTACTGTGTGCAGTTCTGGGCTCCCCAGTATAGGAGGGACGTGGAGCTTCTCGAGAGGGTCCAGAGAAGGGCAACCAGGATGATTAAGGGAATGGAACATCTCTCGTATGAAGAGAGGCTGAGTGAGCTGGGCCTGTTTTCTCTGGAGAAGAGACGGCTCTCTTCTTTCGATTAATATGTATAAG